TTTGGTGTTAATCAAACGGAGATATCTTGCATCTGTTGTTCTCCTGCATATCTGTCTGTAATGGGTTTATATGGCCCTGATTAGGCTAAGATGAAGTCGGCTTCTTGTCCGAATTTTCCCGGTCCACCTTAAATGGTGCAGCATTTACGTTCTGCTTCAACCTCAGCTTAGGGTTTCTCCTTCTTCTTATACATAATACGGCCTATTTAAGTGAATGTGTAAGTCATTTGACATGCAAATGCGAGTAGAGGTGGTGTACAATCTGTTGCCTCAGTACTTAAAGGGGAACTCCGCCGATTTTTCAAAATTGTCAGCGTGGTTAAATGGTTGACACAGTAATTCCGAGTGGTTTGGTGTGCAGTGCAGTGGTGGTGATGGGAACCAGACGTCCACCTCCAAAAACTACCTCACTGACATGGTTATGAATTCACTGCCTGATGTCTGAGACATTGTTTTATGTTAGATTTGAGAAGATTTTAGCAATAAAATCAATTCATGGTGGAGGGATGATACATGCAGAGTGTTGTGAGGCAAGATAGTCCCCAAAAAAGACTTATTTTTCCAGATTTTCCACTATTTTTACATCATCAACATTCCATATAAACCGCAGAAGACTCGTGTAGGTTCACTGGTGGTTCTGGATAGTAAATAAAATGTCTATATTTGTGTTGTAGTCATGGCGACGTCTGGTTCCTATCACCACCAATGTAAAGAAACCTGGGCCATTTCACATCAAACCACTCTGAATGACGCTGTTTACATCTCAAACACTGAATTATACAGAAATTTTGAAAAATTGGTGGGATTCCCCTTTAAGACACGAAACGATTCCCATGCTAAACTCACAGGCACACATGCATGTACTTCATTACACTCACATTCACATTTATTCCCCTATATGTACATTTCTGAGAGTCCTTTCACTCATGTTTGGCTTTCAACGTCGTCTGAAAGTCAGATTTGTCTATAATCCACTGTGAAATCGGGATTAAGACGTATGGGCTTTCCCCACCCTTAGGACGCAGCCTAATCCTTGGCATCATCATCAAACCATCCTTTCTGTTTGAGGTGCTTAAGAGATCCTGAATCCATTAGAAGACCCCCCACAGTGCCCTGAATCAGGCTTTGATTTCGTAATATAACTTCATTTAAATAGATCGTTTAGCCTTAATCTCCTCCATGCTTTGTTTGAGTCCTTTCAGCCTGTGCCTTTTAAATGTCTTGTAGTCCGATTGAAACGAGGAGTTTGTGTTAGGGGTGCGGCGACATAGAATTCCTGAGCTGATCTGATAAACAGTAATTAACGAAGGCCGATACTAGAGCTGTAACAATTAAAGCAACATTATTTTACAGTTTTACTGTAAAATAACAGCTTCAGAATCATTTTGATGGTACTAATAAAGTAATAAACAAATTCGTCTTCAAACATCAGGCAGCAAAACCAGAAACAAAAGGCTTTTATTTTGACATGCTTTTAGGAAAGATGGGCCATGGAAACGCATCATAAAGAAGACCAAGGTGCAAGGCCACAAATTTAGTAAAAAATGCAAATTTTGGGTCATGGTTAGAATGGTTCAGTTTACTGTGTCAGGTTGTCTTACCTCAGGATAACCATGAGAATGTGGAATTATTATAATAATGTTTATTATTTGATAAAATGTAAGTATAAACTCAAGTTCAAGAATAAAATTTCTACATGTGTCTAAGTTTAATATAAAATTAGTCTGAAAAGTCAGGTGGCGCAACCAGACCAGCACAGTTCAATAACTGAAACAGGCAATTAAAACTTTGATAATACTCAATATATCGAAGATATAAAATGCACATAGATGCAAATATAAACACCGATCAGGCATAACTTTATGACCACCTCCTTGTTTCTATGCTCATTGTCCATTTTATCAGCTCCACTTACTATATAGGTGCACTTTGTAGTTCTACAGTTACAGACTGTAGTCCATCTGTTTCTCTGATACTTTGTTAGCCCCCTTTTACCCTGTTCTTCAGTGGTCAGGACCCCCATGGACCCTCACAGAGCAGGTACTATTTGGGTGGTGGATCATTCTCAGCACTGCAGTAACGCTGACGTGGTGGTGGTGTGTTAGTGTGTGATGTGCTGGTGTGAGTGGATCAGACACAGCAGTGCTGCTGGAGTTTTTAAACACTGTGTCCACTCACTGTCCACTCTATTAGACGACAGCTCACCTGCTGCTGCACAGTTTGTGCTGGTCATCCTCTAGTCCTTCATCAGTGGTCACTGGACGCTGTTGGCTGGATGTTTTTGGTTGGTGGACTATTCTCAGTCCAGCAGTGACACTGAGGTGTTACACCACCACCACGTCCTGACCACTGAAGAACAGGGTAAAAGGGGGCTAACAAAGTATGCAGAGAAACAGATGGACTACAGTCTGTAACTGTAGAACTACAAAGTGCACCTATATAGTAAGTGGAGGTGATAAAATGGACAGTGAGCGTAGAAACAAGGAGGTGGTCAGAATGTTATCCTTGATCGGTGTATGTAGGCGTAATAATGCATGTCCTTTTTGTCATTTAATGCTTTAAATTCTAAAAACATGGTTCTAAATTGCCAATTGTTTGGCCATTGTTACTGTATTGAACTGATTTAATATTGAATACATTTTCAGATTTATTGGCAAATAATATATCTGCCTCAGAGGTATCGCGCACCCCTTGTTGGTGTCGTTGTGAAAGCTGTTTGTTTTGTTCTTGGCTGAACAGTTTCTGAGACTCGTGCTCTTTTTTAAGCAAGTTAATCTGTCGTGATCGGGCCGCCTTTGTCTTACTGACAGCTGTCAGCTCATTGTGCTGCCGTCCTGCTGGGTGGACCATTTGTTCTCCCGTCCACTTCCATTAATGCGAACTTCACTCTGTAAATGCAGTTAGCATTAAAGTGTTCTTCGTTAGGCTGTATCAGATAAAGGGGGCTTTCATCAGTTAGCGCTTAAATTGATAAGTGTGGGTGTTCTGCTGTGGGCCGTTAGTCTTCCTCTCATCCCGGCATTCACTGGATATAGATGAGTCATTGCAGGGCTGGATCACGGAAAATCCTGTCTTAACAAGATCTGGCCTCTTGCGATTTAAAAAAAACTGCATTTTTAAAAATATTTAGTTTGATAATAATAAGTAGTGTGATTCAGAATGTAACTTTCCCAGTCCACATATCGTCGCTGTCCAATGAAAAACAAGTATCTCCAAAATATGAACTTTACAGGAGAGGGCAAAAACACTCTTACCTTTCAATGTAAGTCAATGTAAAGAGATTTTGTTCTAAGTGATTTTAGAGCATTTCTGTTGGTCCATCCATCATGAAATTTTTACACAACGTAAAGGACGGCTGGTGTGTCGAAATGATGTAGAAAACTAAAAATCAACAAAAATGGAGATGCATGGTTTTCATTGGACAGCGACGATACGGAAAATAAGCTATTTTCAAATCATTGTTTTGTGATGTCACAAAAAACTTAACATGCATACAGCTGTTTAGCCCCGCCTTATACACACTGAATTTATAAGGAGTGTTTCCGCCTGGACTGCTTAATGAGTGAGGCCAATCAGGACAGAGCTCATTTACATATGTCTGTCTTAAAGGCACAGTAACAAAAACCACATATAAGTGGTGAAAAGTAAAATGCAAGAGAAATGTAGGTTATAGGCCCCAAATGAGACGTCACAGTATCCTGTGGAGTGGGACTAATTTTCAGTGTTGCGGGTGGGAAACCAGCCCACTGCGGGCGGGGGGGGGACGGAGCACACATAAAGAGAATCACACAAATTAATGAACAGCCTAAATAAGGTAGAATGGTCACTAAATCATATATGTAACAATGTAAAATGATAACAGTAAAACTGTTAAAATGAATGTGGTCATTCTAAAGAGCTGCGAAGCAGCTGATCACGTGAACAACACCCAGATTCTCGTAGTTTACAGAGATGGCGGAGCCTTCAGTCCGACGGCCACAGCTGCCCAACAAAGCACCAAAAATGACCGCTCTGTGGTTTAAATCCTGCTTTGTGTTTAGTGGGAATAAATGGTGTTTGGTGAAGTTACTCACAGTGAGGCTGATGATCAGGACTGCTGTGATATTACAGCAGAGAATAATGTGTTTGTGAATAGACTGTGTCAGATATTGGAGGTCAGTTCTTGGCGGAACTGCGCGGGTGGGAGCGGGACTAATAATTCATCTCGAATAAAACTTAATTTAGATTGATTTTGTCCTTTTTTCCTTTCCTGTTAAAAAGTATCCTTTAATTTGACTATTTTCTTCTATAAACTGTGTTGCCATATAGAAGCTAATAGGGCCAGTTTACCACTTATAAATAAAACTTGCGCTCTTAAAGATGGTTCTTCAAGGGTTCTTTAGCAAACACGGTCATTGTAGAGCCCTGAACACTCAAAGAACCATTTGCATGCTTGAAGTGTTCTTTGCACCATGAAATGGTTCTTCAGACTGATGGTGAATGTGTTGTATGTGGTTTTATATTGCTGTTGTTTCAATGTCGACCTCATAACAACAAAAGAACCCCTTTTAGCGCTACATAGAACCCTTTTCGAAGGTCCTTTATAGAACCATAAATAACATTTTCTCCATCAATCTGAAGAACTAATACACCAAGCAAAGAACTATTTAAGCATGCAAAGGGTTCTTTGAGTGTTCATGGTTGTATATAGAACCACTGTCTTTACTAAAGAACCCTTGACAGTCCTTTTTTAAGAGAGCAGTCTTTGACTAAACAGTAGTCTGTGGAGATAAACTGATGATTTTTTTTTGATCACACTTACAAATGATGTTCTTCTAGGGTTCTTTAGTAAAGAAAATGGTTCTCTGTAGAACGGCTATGATGCTTTGCATGATTAAATGGTTATTTACATCTTGAAAGCATCTTCAGATTGATGGAGAATGTGTAGTGCATGGTTCTACGTAGAACCTTGATGAAAAGGGTTTTACATAGTACCAAAAAGGGTTCCTCTATGGTTACAAGCTTGACATTGTCACAGTAGAAGAACCCTTTTTTGGTGCAATATAAAACCCTTTCCAAAAGGGTTCTCTATAGAATCATCTACAGCACATTTTCCATCAATCTGGACAACATGTTCACAATGCAAATGCTTCTTTGAGTGTTCATGGTTCTAAATAGAACCCTTGAAGAACCACCATTTTTAAAAGTGTAAGTGTTAGAATTAATCTCGGAGAGGAAAGCCAGCCTCAACATTTACTGTGTTGTTTTTAAGTGACGTTCTTGAAGTTCCTTTTGTTTAAGGGTAGTTCTAGTGAAAATGCTAATGTCAGTAGTTGAGTTTCCATTCAGACATTTTTCAAATATGAAGCAAATTTTGTAAGTAAAGTTTGTAAAAGAAATTGCAAATTAATGAGTGATTCCGTCAGCTACTGTTAGGTGCCGAGTAGAGCGAAGCCGCTGTCCCATTTTGCCGTTCCCACTGAACCTCTGCAAACATCAGTCCAAACGTAGTGTTGATGATATTTATCTGCTGCTGTGTTGATCACCGGATGGTGCCACGTCATCACTAATTTGAAAAATGACATTTTACAGTCACATATCTCATTTTACCTTTATTGATAAACCAACTTTGAACCTCATTCAAGTATAAAACCCTCTTTTTTAAAAATTCCAATAATCCCATAGCTGTAAGACCTAACGGTCAGCTGTGCACCTGGCCCTGTTATGTCTCATTAGCTTCATTACTTTTGATTGATCTGCTCTTTCCGGTGGTGGTGCTTTGGGCCAGGACTGATTGGGATTATGGTGAAGGTTTGTTTTCAGAATCGCTCCGATGTCTGATTCTTAATATTTTTCTGTTCTTAAGTGTGTGTTTCCTTGCTTTTTAGGTGTGACATGGCAAAAGATGTGCCTGATGGACATGATGCCCGCAACCTTTCACCTGCAGCTGGGGGCAGAGCTCTTGTCATGAATACACGACTCTAGCAGCGATTTTGTGACTTGTCATGGAGACTGTGGCAGAAAGTGAGCCGGCTGGTGCAGCTGGTGGGCAACCATCAGATTTCATATCCCATGATCCTCAGCAGCCCCAGACGCCACCGACGGGGAAGCTTAGGAAGACCGCCTTCAGATTTTTTGGAGGTCGGAAGAGCATCTGTATGCTACCAAGCTTCTTTGGCGGACGTGGTAAAGGCCAAGGAAGGGGGTCCTCCAAAACTGGCGTAACCAAGAGCCAGACGTATGACGGTGTGAGCAGAGGATGCTGGGAGGAAAGTATCAGGGGCAGTGGTGATGTGACTTCAGCGGACTTTGAGTTCCACAATCCAAATGGCTCATGTGATGCACAAAAAGCGCAGGAAGGTTTCGGGAAGTCGCAGTCCCTTCCGCGACAAAGGAGAGGTCTGCGAGGTCTCTTTAGCAGCATTAGGAGGCACAGAAAGAACAAAAACATTGAACAAGAAAGGAACGAGACGCTTGAAATGTCCTCGGGTGAAACAGTGCCTGGTACTCAGTCGAACCTTGGTCGTCACAGCGATGATAGCGACAGTCGTCTGGGCGAGGTGTCGGAGCCAGATGTGCCTACTGCAGTTGACGGAAGCGATTCTGCAAAGCCGCTTGCCTCTGCTGCTGACGAATGTACAAAGGATGAAACGCTAGTGCCTGAGAAACGAAAAAGTAAGGGAAAGGTGGTTGAGGAAGAGGACAAAGAAAAAAGAGGAGATGAAAGGAAAGATGGTGATGAGAAGCAGGAAGGAGAGAGGAAGGGCAGACTGGCTACATATCGGCAGCCGTTGTCTGCGGACTCTGAGATGGATCGCCTGGCTGAACTGAATGCCGATTTACCTGAGGGCGAGTTGCCTGCAATGTCTGCTTCCTCTGACAATGTAAATCTGATCTTTGGAGATGTGGCTTCTCTGAAGAGCTTTGATTCTCTGACTGGTTGTGGGGACATAATTGCTGACCAGGATGATGTCAGCGTTGCAGAAAGTTCGGTGTCCGGCGAGAGGGGAAGTCGCAATGCTGGCAAACGCAGCTCCTGCCTCATTACTTATCAAGGTGGTGGAGAGGAGATGGCAACTCCAGATGAGGTGGACAGTGAGTACTTGCATAGTCTTTGGGAGTCAGATGTTGGCAATGAGGTCTGCTACCTCCCATCAGAGCAGACCGACAGTTTATCAATCACTCCTGATCAGCCAATTGGCTCCTTTCATACTGCCACTACCAGCAGCAGTGGCAACACCAGCACTAGCCCTTTGGGAGGCACAGAAACTGCCCTTACACCTACTGATCTTTTAACCCCGCAGAGTGACCGACAGGAATCGGTACCAAACAGTGACGAGGGTTACTATGATTCCACTACACCGGGAGCTGACGAAGAGACTAGGGAACGTCCTCAGCAAGAAAGACTTCCCCGTGACAGCTACAGTGGTGATGCCCTTTATGAACTTTTCGAGCCTGATGACCGATTGCTCAGTCCACCTCTTCCCTCGAAAGACAGTCATGGGTTTCTGGGAGCTCCCTTGCAGGGCAAAGGAAAAGGAGACCTGCTGTATGCCCTGACATCTGCTGCCTTGGAAACCGGTGCCATGGAGACAGAGGAGGAGCGTCTCAGTAAGATCCAGCATGCCTTGCTGTGCTGTGAGCTGCAGAATCTGAGAAGCCCGTCCAAAGATCAGCTTCTGTACTGCAGTGATTGTTTCTACAGTGACACAGCCCCACTTGAGGGTAACTGCAAAAACTCAGCTGAGGAAGGTCTCCAAAAGCATGGAACCCGACCACTGCAGGGATCCCAAGTCATAAAGGAAGTTTTGTCCCATGGTGGGCCTCAGCTTCAGCACAAACCCTTATATGGACCTGTGGCTGATTCAAGGTTCAGCCCGCAGGTCTCAAAGGCACCCATTATTCTGCAAGATGCAGTCCTGTATTCTAAGCAAGAACGGTGTGAACCTTCAGATGGGAGCGCCTTACCGCCACCCAGAGGCTGCAGCCAGTCCCAAGAAGAGCTGATGGTCTGTTTCTCGCAAGCGTTGGTGGACTTCACCAAAAACACCCGACTGTACCGCAACTCCACAGAAAGTCTGGATGGCTCAGAGTCCAGCTCCCCATTTGGCCCAAGCCTGAGTGCTCTTCCTGCCATTGTTACTTTTGATGTGGTCGACATGGAGAACGAGGGAGAATGTGAACAGCAGACAGAACTTGCAGAAGAAGAAGAGGAATTATCTTCCCCATATGAGCCGTTTGAGGATGACGGCTGCTACCTGCAGCAAGACGCCTTCGCTGAGTGTGATCAGAGAACTTTCGATGCCTATGAGCAAAGCTTGTTGGTCAGCAATGCTTGGGGGATCACAAGCCTTCCGCGCCACCTTAGCCTGGGCCGGCCAGGCCCTCCTGTTCCCGCCCCGCTAGCACTTAACCGACGTAGCCGTTCTCTGGATACAGACAGTCTAGACTTTCAGACCAGCGAGCTTTACGCAACGGTAGCTTCACATAGTCCTAAGATGGCTCCTTCCCTCCAGCGCAGGAAAAATAGTCCTGAAATGGGGGACTGTTGCGACATGGCATTACCACGACTTTCAGAAAGGGGCCGCATTGATGGTTGGAGACAGGGACGTGGTTCTGAATTTGACTCTCCCCGGAAGGCCACTCTCTCTCAACAGCAACAAAAGTTCTCACGTGGCAGTCCCTGGATGGAAACGACGTCAAGCTGTGCCTCCACCTGTCAACAAACGGTTAGACCCTCACATCTCCCCCTACAGGCTTCCTGCCGCAATGGCAGCTCATCACGTGTTGCCAGAGTAGGTGCTGAAGGGGACGTAATGACTGGAGGAGGTGATGCCATGTACCCTTGCAGTTACCCACCATCAGGAACGCAGTGGAAGAGTCGACCGGTTGGCATCACCCAGGGTGTACCCCACCTACGTTCTGACCAACTAGAGAACCCAAGAGAGATCACAGCCAAGAGTAGGAGGGCGGAAATTGAGGGGGAGTTCTCCACGGCAACACCTAAACGCACCATGTAAACAACAATCATCTTTCACATGCAAAAACGAAAACATTAGGTAGGTCTCATCACCAAAGACACAGCTGGATGTTTACTGACCATCTTGATTTGTATACACTTACCCTCCTATGTTCGCTGGTATCTCCAGATAAGCTATTATATTTTAGTGATGGTGTAGTTTTTTGGTTATTTTCTTCTCCACCAGTGTTTTGTCTGTTTTCTCAATATAACTGCCGTTGTTTTTTATGACTAGCCATGTTATTTTGCATATATGTAGCAGTTGTGTCTTTGAACATTGACCAGAAATAGAGCTTTTTGTTCTGTGTTTTAAAGTCTGTTTGACTTCTCAGATATTAAGTATCACTTTGAACAGATTTTTTTAATACAGCCTATATGCTAGCACGTTAGAACAGAGACACTGTGTTAGTGTAAGTTTCTGCCTCTACTGGAATACCACGTAACGTGGTGGCGGTGTGGAGTATCGGACCTTCTCTTTAAATGGACGGTGAATGTGAGAGGACGTTTGGAGTTCTGAGTTTTGCGTATCTTCCCCCGAACACTTTTCAGATATGCTGTGTTATGCTGTTTTCATGTTTACATTTTTTAAACTATTTTCAATAGTATGTTTATTTTGTTTTACCACATTTCTGCACTACATTAGTGAGGAAATGCGCTTGCACACTCAAAGACAACTAGTCATGCACCGATCCGATATGCTGGATCGTTATCAGCATCGATAATGACCTTTAATGAATCGGGTGTCGGCCAGACGAGACCGATCTACTTTCAGATACCTAAAACGAAAGCGTTTTGTTTCAAACCGTGATATAATTCTCAAGTTTTAATTTGTTATTAATTAAACTCGAAACTAGGGCTGAACAATTTGGGGAAAATATCTAATTGCGATTTTTTTCCAACTTATATTGTGATTATTTTTTATAAATTGAGATTCAGGCCTGATTTCTTTTGTCCAAGATAACTAGAATATCCTCCTTTTTGGTTGACGCTTGAATGACCAAACTGCCAGTAAGTTCTGGTTGTGATGTCACAATACACAGAGGTTTGGTTGCCTCTGATTGGTCCAACTTATCTACAGGCGTTTCATAAGCTGTGTGTTATTAGGTTCAATTTCCTGTCTTATGACAACGTTTTACGTACACGCTTAAAAAAAGATGGTTTTCCAAAGGTTCTTTAGTAAAGACAGTGGTTCTATGTAGAACCATGAACACCAAGATCCATTTGCATGCTTAAAGGATTGATGGAGTACGTGTTGTATAGGGTTCTATATAGCACCAAGAAGCTTCGAACAAGCCGGGATGCCCCTGCGTTGGAACGATGAGGTAGGCGCCGGACAACTCTGTCGTGACTGCTATTCCCCCCGATACGTTCAGGAACATGGAGCGCCGCATCGAAATGTGTCTGGCAGAAAACAGATCACTTCCAGCATCGCATGTAATGCAATCGGTTACACATTAGTCAAGGTATGTAGCGGATTTTTTGGTTCAGATTGCTTCATCAGTTACAACAGAATATTCGGGGCCTCTTTCGAGTGAATCTCCCTGTAGTTAAGATGTCTACAGTGATGTTTTTGTAGCTCTAAAATGTATAAGATGAATATGGTGGGGTGTGGAAACAATGTGCCTCATTTTAAAAATTGTTAAAAATCGTTTATTTAAAAAAAATTTAAAATGTAAAATTTAAAATTGGAACATCATTATTTAGAAAAAACTCTTCACTTGTGACCCCCCCATTATTTGAGGTATACAGATTTTACATTAAAGAAAAATAAAAAGATCGGATCGGTGCTCGGTATCGGCCGATATTCCGAGTTCAGGTGTTGGGAGAGAAGAAGTCGGGTCGGTGCATTCCTGAGAAACGCAACGTTCAGAAACACGAAACCGGTCATAAACAATTCAGAACGATGGAACATTTTGCTTGGTCACTCGATTTTATAAAGGTTTTACTGTTGACTGATGATATGCGCTTATTTAAAGTTGTCTAATGGAGGTTTTGCCCAGCAGGAGGCGCAATGGAACACTTGTAGCTCAGCCAGCAAGTCACACTCGTTTATCAAAGAATCTGCGGATGGAAAAAAGGCCGTCGTCTTGCTAGTGAATGTATGATATCGTTGTATACAGTGTCCATAAACACTTATCACTGACCCTTCACTCGGTTTTGACCTTCGGTGTCAAAAACTGTGTTGGGCGGCTTTAAATAAAGCTTTAAAGCTTCTACAGTCTAATAGCAGGAGAAACGAGCTATGCTAGTCACGTCGGAGAACACTGAATTAGCCACGTTTTACAGTTTTCAAAGGGGAATTCCAACGATTTTTTCAAAATTTCTGCATCGTTTTAGATTATGGTGGTGATGGAAACCAGGGGTTGCCATGACTACAACACAGATAAAGACATTTATTTACTATCAGAACTACCAGTGCACCTTCTTGAGTGTTTATATTGAATGTTGATGGTAAAATAGTGGACAATCTGTAAAAATCCGTTTTCTTTGGGGACTATTTTGTGTCTCAGCACTCTGCATGTATCCCTCCACCATGAATGGATAATTTATGCTTTTATAAGCCAAAAACTTTCTCAAAAACAGTGTACATCAGGCAGTGAATTCATAACCATTTCATGTAGTAACTTTCTGTGAGGGAGCTTTTAGAGGTGGACGTCTGGTTCCTATCAGCACCACTGTGAACAATTCTGACTCGGTAAGTTTCACTAGAACGGAGCGTTTCACACCAAACCACTCTGAACGACTCTGTTCAGTTAATTTTGCAAAAAAGAACACTTTTTTTGGACGGTCCACGGTAGATGCTGTGTAGGTACTCAGTATATTGCTAACTTTACAGAAGGAAAAAACATATTTACTTTTAATGTAAGTCAATGGAACCAGATTTTTTTTTCCAAGTCGTTTTGGGCCGTTTGTTTTCGCCCATTCACCATGAAATTTACATACAATATAAAGGGTAACAGGCATTTTCAGATTATGGCAAAAACTGAAAAACCTCAAAAATGGAGATACGAGGTTTTCTTCCGACAGCAGCGACATCTTTAACTAACATTCAACTAAATATCCGTTAAATGCAGCTAAAATTGAAGTTGAGTGTGGAAGATCTTATTAAATCTAACCCTAATCTTAAACCTAACCCTAACCGTAATGTGGTTGATAATAACCGAATGTTTGTTAGTGATCTAAGTATCTGTAGATCGTCTATAGGGGACCATCCGAATAAAGTGAGAACGAAATTTTGAAAAGTAGGTGGATTCGCCCTTTACGCCTTCAATAGGTATTTGCTGCGTATTCATTGATCAGGTCAGTATCATGACTTGTCTTTAAATGAATGTCAAAGTAGTCTCAACACCACAAAACGTTTTTTTCCAGATGGCGCCAAAGTCAACGTCATGCACATACAGCGTCACACGACACGATCATTCCTGTTTCGTTTTTGTTTTGATTTCAGTCAAAAGAAACACGTTTTCTCTGACAGAATCGATGCTGTTCATGATGAGTTTGTGACGAGGGTTTTTTAAAACCGTTTGTAGTGTGTTTTTTTTGTATTCTTGCGTTTGGTACAGTCCTTTTTGTGATCGGTGATTGAATGTTCACTCTTTTTCTGCTGAGTCGGCGGAAAAACATCATGAGGAAATGTTTTGTTTTTTATACATATGGATGTAAATACACAGACAATGAATGTTGGACCCACAGGGTGGGATTTACCCACCCGCCAATCAGAACACTCTCCTTACCCACACTGCCCCTCAGTACTGGAGACTCACAGTGATCTGAAAGGGGAACTCCACCAGCATTTTCTAAATTTTTGCATAGTTCAGTATTTGAGAGGTTAAACAGTGTGAAATGGTTCAGATGTCTTTACAGTGGTGGTGATAGGAACCAGACGTCGCCATGACTACAACACAAATATAGGCATTTTATTTACTATCCAGAACCACCAGTGAACCTACACGAGTCTTCTGAGTTTATATGGAATGTTGATGATGGAAAATAGTGGAAAATCTGAAATAATAAGTTTTCTTTGGGGACTATTTTGCCTCACGGCACCCTGCATGTTATGTATCCCTCCACCATGAATGGAGTTTAAGGCCAAAATCTTCTCTAAACTATCATAAACAGTGTCTCAGTCATCAGGCAGTGAATTCATAACCATTTCATGGTGTAACTTTCTGTGAGGAGCTTTTAGAGGTGGACGTCTGGTTCCTATCAGCACCACTGACAATTCAGACTTGGTAAAATTGTCTACAATCTTAAAAAAGATGGTTCTTTAGTAAAGGGAATGGTTCTATATAGAACCATTTGCATGCTTACATGGTCCTGTGCAAGGTGAAATGTTCTTCACATAGATGGAGAATATGTTGTATATGGTTCTGTATAGCACCAAAAAGTTCCTGCTTGACACTAACAATAGAACCATTTTTGGTGCTATATAGTACCACATACAACACATTCTCCATCTGTCTGAAAAGTCATTTTACCATGCACAGAACCGTGTAAGCATGCAAAAGCTTCTTGGCATTGTAACAAGAACCCTTTTTGGTGCTATAGGGAACCTTCTGCAGCACATGTTTCATCAATCTAAAGAACTCTTTCACAGTGCAAAGAACCCTTTGCATGATTAAAGGGTTGAAAGCGTTCTTCAGATTGATGGAAAATGTGCTATAGATGGTTCTATGTAGCACCAAAAAGGGTTCTGCTATTATTACAATGTGAGGCTTGTTACAGTAGAACAGCCCTTTTTGGTGCGATATAGAGCCATTTTCTTTACAAAAGAACCCTTAAATAATCATCATTTTTAAGTGTCTAGAACTCATGGTTCTAAATAGAACCCTTGAAGAACCATCTTAGCAGTGTAGAACAGAGCGTTTTACACCAAACCACTCTGAATGACTTTGTTTACATCTTGATCGTCTATTAATGCTGAAAATTTTGAGAAATGGGTGGAGTTCCCCTTCAACACACACAAACACAACTTGCACTCGACTCTGAACTGGAAATAAACTCCCATCTCAAACGTGAAGGATGAGTCTGTGTTTTCTGTTCATGATGTTTTGTTAACTTTTGATGTTTTTCCATCTGTTTCTCTGATACTTTGTTAGCCCCCTTTTACCCTGTTCTTCAGTGGTCAGGACCCCCATGGACCCTCACAGAGCAGGTACTATTTGGGTGGTGGATCATTCTCAGCACTGCAGTAACACTGACGTGGTGGTGGAGTGTTAGTACGTGTTGTGCTGGTCTGAGCGGATCAGACACAGCAGTGCTGCTGGAGTTTTTAAACACTGTGTCCACTCACTGTCCACTCTATTAGACACTCCTACCTTGTCGGTCCACCTTGTAGATGTAAAGTCAGAGACGATAGCTCATCTGCTGCTGCACAGTTTGTGTTGGTCATCCTCTAGTCCTTCATCAGTGGTCACAGGACGCTGCCCACAGGACGCTGTTGGCTGGATATTTTTGGTTGGTGGACTATTCTCAGTCCAGCAGTGACACTGAGGTGTTTAAATCTCCAGCAGCACTGCTGTGTCTGATCCACTCAGACCAGCACAACACATACTAACACACCACCACCACGTCAGTGTTACTGCAGTGCTGAGAATGACCCACCACCCAAATAGTACCTGCTCTGTGAGGGTCCATGGGGGTCCTGACCACTGAAGAACAGGGTAAAAGGGGGCTAACAAAGTATCAGAGAAACAGATGGACTACAGTCTGTAACTGTAGAACTACAAAGTGCACCTATATAGTAAGTGGAGCTGATAAAATGGACACAAGGAGGTGGTCAGAATGTTATGCCTGATTGGTGTAGATTAAGCTGCAAAAATGGACCATTTAGAATTCCCTGTTTCAAAAATCAAAATAGACATGTATCCACCCATTCAGCCTACAGCGGCCTGGCCCCGCCCACTCACACTGTCGTTATAAGGAGTGTTTCAGCACGGACTGCTTTTTAAGTGAGGCACAATACAGGGCAGCCAGTCAGAAGAGAGCTCATCAACATATATCAGTCTTAAAGGCACAGTAACAAAAGGGGTCAGAAAATAATTGTGTAGAAATGAATTATAACGGATTATGGAAGAAAAAGTGGGGAACAAAAGGGTTCTTTGCATCCTGAAAGGGTTCCCTTTAATGATGCATCTTTTTTCTAATAAAGTGGCCAGTGAGAGGAAGCACAAGGTTTCTAATGCACCCACTTCCTGTTCTTCAACTCTCTGGCCACTTTATTAGAAACACCCACCTTGTGCTTCCGCTCACTGGCCACTTTATTAGAAACACCCACCTTGTGCTTCCACTCACTGGCCACTTTATTAGAAACACCCACCTTGTGCTTCCACTCACTGGCCACTTTATTAGAAACACCCACCTTGTGCTTCCACTCACTGGCCGCTTTATTAGAAACACCCACCTTGTGCTTCCTCTCACTGGCCACTTTATTAGAAACACCCACCTTGTGCTTCCTCTCACTGGCCACTTTATTAGAAACACCCACCTTGTGCTTCCACTCACTGGCCACTTTATTGGAAACCCTTATCTCTCTAGATGCAGTGTGTGAGCTCTTCAATGTTGTTCTTTAGTAAATACACTCAGAGAACCCTTTGCATGGCTGAAATGTTCTTTGCATAATGAAAGCGTTCTTCAGATTGTTGGAGAATGTGCTGTAGATGGTTCTGTAATAGCCTTTTTTAAATTGGTTCTATATAGCACCCAAAAGGGTTCTTCTATACGATGCCAAGCTTGTAACAATAGAAGAACACTTTTCAAATAATTCTAAATAGAACCATCCATTCATGCACATTTTCTATCAGTCTGAAGAACCATTTTATGATGCACAGAACCCCATTAATCAAGCAAAGGGTTCTTTGAATGTTCATGGTTGTATATAGAACCATTTTCTTACTAAAGAACTACCAAAGAACTAAAGAGTGTAGTAATCAAGTAATAATCTAATAATAATCGCATTGTTAAAGATGGTTGAGGGGTTCTACAGTAAAGACGGTGGTTCTGTATAGAACCATGAGCACTCAAAGAACCATTTGTATGCTTAAAGCGTTCTTTGCGTGATGGTTCTTCAGATTGATGGAGAATGCATGGTATAAGGTTCTATATAGCACCAAAAAGGGTTCTGCTGTTGTTACAATGTCGAGCTTGTAACAGTAGAAGAACCCTTTTCAAACAGGTGCTGTATAGAACCATATACAACACATTCTCAATCAATCTGAAGAACCATTTCACCATGTAAAGAACGATTTTAAGCATATAAATCGTTCTTATATGGTTCTATATCGATCCACCGTCTTTACTAAAGAACTCTTGACATCATCTTTTTTAAGAGTCTGGTGTAGAACCATTATACAGTGGTTCTTCAAATCTCTTTATAAAATGGATATACAAAGAACGTTCTACTTAAGCTTCTTCTGCGATGTTCGCTTTCATTGCAGCCAATCAGGTTGCACCGTGTTGTGATGTCACAGCAGGCCTGCTGAAGGCCCCTGGGTCACTTTAACTCAAGCTGTAAAATATCTTACCATTTTGGTGATGAATATCTACCGTCTGAAAGCGGCACAAAATGGTCAGACATCGCCACGGAAACGTTCAAGCCTGTTTCCTTGACAACCACCATCTCTGTGAGTGTACCTCCACCGGCTGCCAGTCATCTGGAGTCCCCCCACCATCAGAGATAACCTCCAAATAACGGCATCAACATATTCAACATCTACAGAGTCGTCAGTTTATCAGGTAAACCTGCACCAGCACAAGAAGCTCTACCGCCTCAGTGTCACAGCAGTGCTGAGAACGGACCACCATTAAGTCTGCACATAGGTGGTCCGTGATGGACAGGGCAGAGGGGAGCTGATAAATTCTGCTGTAGCAGGTGGGCTACAGTCTGTACCTGTAAACTGTATCTCTGAAAAAATGTACAAATACATCTACAAA